TCAGTCTCACCCCATCACACACACATACTCCCCTAGCTCAGTCTCACCGGAAATGCCAGATGACAGATGTGAGCCATCCATGTCTGCCGGTGCTGGGCGGCCAGCACGTGGCTGCGTTCAGTGGTAGTGAGCAGGAAGGCGGTGGTGTCCCGAGGACAGCTCTCACCGTCAGCTGGCACCACAGACACACAGTCAGCCAGCCGGATCACTCGCCGGTCACCCCGACGCCCACTGGGTTTGTCCCCTGCTGGTCCGCCCCCACCATCTCTTACGTCCCAGCTTTCCAGTCGGGCCACTCCTGAAGGGCCGTCAGCATACAAGAAGGCCCACACCTTCCTCCAGGATTTCTGCAGGAGGCAGGCACAGGGGGAAATCTTGGAGCTGCTGTCCCATGGCCCTACCTGCCCACTGAGGGGCATCTGGGCTCCCCATGGGCCAGCTAGCACTCCTGAACTAAAGGTAGCAGCCGTGGATCTCTCATGCCCAACCAGGGGTGGGAAACCTGCGACCTCAAGGAGGCCACATGTGGCTTTCTAGGTTCTTGAGTGCAGCCTTTTGACTGAGTCTAAGTTTTACAGAACAAATTCTTTTATTAAGGGGATTTGTTCTGTGAAGTTTGGATTCAGTCAAAGGGTTGCACTTGAGGACCTACAGCGCTGCACATGGCCTGGAGGCTGTGGGTTCCCAACCCCTGCCGAGACCCTGAGCCTGGGGCTGATGACTGACAAAGAATGTCAGGCATTTCAGTTACAGGAAGCTGGGCACGCTGCTTAGGCTCCTAGCTGAGGGCTTCCTACCCAGCCTGTGTCTGTGGTCACTTAGTGGCAAGGACATTTCTCCTGGTCCAGTCACCAGAAATACAATATTCTCTCTTCCTCCCCCATTCCCTAGCTCAGCTTAGATGTTTCTAGGCCAGTTATGCCCAAGACTGCCCAAGATTGTGCCCCAATCCATCCCACTCACCACCTGCTTTGGTTATACAAGCCTCTTCCCATTTAAGCCCAAGAGAGAGTCAACCCAAGCTCAGACCAACCTTGAAAAGATGTAGGGAAGTGCAAGGACCCAGGCCTAGCCCCTGACCGGGCTCCCTGAGCACACACACATATATACAACTCTGGGATATCCCCGCTCCATGTCCTCAGCATCCACAGGGGGAGGGAAATCCTAGGCTGTGTCACCAGAAGAACAGAGGAAGGAAACATGCAAATAGTCACAGGGAAGGAAGTGGCCTGGGTATCTCGTAGCAGTTGAAGTAGATAGAACTTCTGGCACCACTCAGCGTAACCTTGAAATATGTGTGTTGGGGGGTGGGGGAAGGGATGATAGCATGAGAGACAGAGGGAGAGAAGCAGATATCAGAGGATCAGAGGCCACTGGGCCAAACCCCCTGAACTTACAGGTGAGGAAACCAGACCCAAAGATGTTCAGCGATTTACCCACGGTCACCCAGGTAGTAAGTGGGGGAGCTGGCATGTGAGCCTGGGTCCTATGACTTCATCGTACAGTCAGAAGAGTAAGGTAAAAGATGATGGAAGGACAGAGGAACAGAGGGACAGAGGGAGAAAGACAGTTGCAGGAGTACTGGGAAAAGCACTGGACTGACAGTCAAGAGACCTGGGTTTTAGTGTGACCTTGGGCAAGTCACCTCCCCTGTGGGGCTTCAGTTTTCTTCTCCATAAAATGGTGGACATGAATCCCCACCCAGCCTGCTTCATGGGGCCGTTGTGAGGCCCAAAGGAAATAATGAACGAATGAACAAGCATTTTGTAAATGATAAAATAAAAATAAATGTAAAGAATCATTACATCATAAGTTAAATTACAAATGTAAAATGAACTCTCCAGGTCCTTTCTCCCTTTGACCCAGTTCAGAGGGCAGGCCCTGATAAGACTAAAATCCCTGCTACAGGTTCTCTACGACTCAAGGCCCATGTCAAGCCACAGGGGCAACCCTCCCCAACCCCACCAACACACACACACACACACACACACACACACACACACACACACCCCGGATTCCCAGCACCAGCCCCTCAGTCCCACCCTCCCCAATGCTCGGGATCCACAAGAGTGGACAGCAGGTTCCTGGTCCCATTAGGGAAGGGGATGGTCTCCAATCCCAGTCAGTCCCCACCTTGCCAAATTTCACATGTTGCTGGTAGAGAAGCCCGTCCTTCAGAGGCGTCTCTTGGGTGTCCATGACTGAGGGGCCAGAGCCCAATGCTCAGACAGCAGCCCTGAAGCAAATGGGGACAGGCAACTTCCCCTTCTTGCTACTTCCCTTCCCCCCCAGCCGCAGGAGGGAAGGAGGCTAGGGTGGCCTGGGGGAGGGGTCAGGGCCCACCCCTACTCCCTGGCAACTCTGGGAGAACCTGGGGTGGCTTGGGGTAGAAGGCCAGGAAGGCTGTTCTTTACCCCTGCCCCTAGTCTTTCTCCTGCCCTATGTGGAGGGCTCTGGAGGTGGGCAAGGGCCCTGCCCTTCCAGCTCCAGGTCATAGGCTGGACCCACATCAGCTGTCTTTGAGACATGGGTTCTGCTGAGTCATAGGCTTCATCTTCGTCCCTTCCTGCTTCTCCCCATCCTCCCTCCCACGAGTTAGAAAAGAAGAGGGGGCAGAAGCAACTGCTCTATGTCTAAGATCAAAGAGGATTTGTCTAACAATAACTACCATTTCTACAAGGTTTTAAAGTTTGCAAGTCACTTGATATACATTATCTCATTTGAGTTTCTCGACAACCATATGATATCATTAATACAGGCATTACCCCCACTTTACATATGAGGAAACTGAGGCAAAGGGCAGTTAAGTGACTTGCTCTAGGTCACATGACTAGTAAAAACAGGATCTGAACCCAGGTGTTCACTGACTTCTAAGCTTAACACTCTGTCTGTTACTCAACATTGCCCTCCCCTCTGCCTACAATTTTAATATTTTTTCCATGTTTATTTTAAAGATATTTTAAAAGGAAGTCACGTTTCTGTCAGTCATCTTCAGATATATCCCCCTCTCTGGCCAGTCCTCTCCTACAACAAAGAAAAAGTAAAAAAAGCAAAACAAAACAAAAAAAAAAAACAACCCCCCCAAAAAAAAGGAAGGTTGTGCCTCAGTGCTCCAGCAAATTCCTTCATGTCAGAGAGGAGGAAGATGAGGGTTGGAAAAAAAGGGACTTGCTCAAGATTACATTAGTAGCAAAGCTGGACTTTGGACTTCAAACCCAAGGCTCTTTCCACTAGGCTACACTGTCCATTTGTGCTTTTGGTCACACCGTTCTGCCAATGCCCTTCCTGTTTATATTTATATCTTAGCCATCCTTTGATCTCCAGATCAATTTTCACCTCCTCCAGGAAGCCTTCCTTGAGCATTCCAGTCTCATCAGCTCCCCCTTTTCTGAATTCCTATTCCATCAAAGACTTCTGGGAAGCTAGAGATTGCTGGTTTTGAGTCTTGATTCTGTTACTCATCCTGTGACCTTGTGCAAATGCTTTGCCTTCTCGTGCCTCAGTTTTCTTCTCTGTAAAATGGGAATACATTACTTGCCTCATGGGGCTATTTGTGAAGTATAAAGACATTAGAGAAATGGAAACTAGAATTGAAATTAGACACTGAGCTCCAAAAGGGATCATCTCTGTCTGGTACACATCCTCTCTTGGTCTTGCGAGGTGTGTGGGGCCCATTTGTTCAAAGAATGATCATCCTTATGTATGTGTATCTGTCCCTGAAATCCGAGCAAACGGAAGGCGGCTGAGTTCAGAGGAGAGAACACTGGATCTGCAGCCAGAGAACCTGAGTTTAACTTCTGTCTCAGCTCTTATGTGTCTTTGGACAAGTCACTTCCACTCTCTGTACCCTAGTTTTTCTCATCAATGAGAGGGGTGAATGAGATGGTTTTTAGGGACCCTCTCAGCTTCAAATTCCCAAGCTTTCAATGGAACATCTGGTCTGGTAGCCTACTCAGTGTTTAGTAAAGACTCCAGACACAAGTGCTATTTCTCCTTCCTGACTACCTTTTTAAAAATATTTTTTATATTTTTTCTTGATATTCCAGATCTTTTATTCCTCCAGATTAATTTTTTATCTGGCAAAAGTACCAGTATGTAAAATAAACCCACATAAATTATTGTGTTTCTGTATACTACCAACAAAACCCAGCAGGAGGAGATAGAAAGAGAAATTTCACTTAAAATAATTACATAACATATAAAACATGTGGGACCCTACCTACCATGACATACACAGGAACTATGAATACAACTACAAAACACTCTTAAAGGAAAGAAAGACAAACCTAAATAATTAGAAAAAAAAATCAATTGCTCATAGGTGGGCTGAGCCAATAAAAAAAAATAGGAATACTACCTAATTTACTTATTCATGCCATACCAATTATACTACCAAATGATTATAGAGCTAGAAACAAATAAAAATTCATGTGAAGAAACAAAGGTCAAGAATCTCAAGGGAAATCATGAAAAAAAATGGAGAGGGGGGAGGAAGGAGGCCTAGCAGCACAGATCTCAAACTATAATATAATTATCAAAATTATTTGATATCAGCTAAAAAATAAAAGTTGGTAAGTGGAACAGTTTAAGTCAGGGGTGGGGAACATGTGACCTTCTAGGTCCTTGGGTTCAGCCTTCTGACTGAGTCCAAGTTTTACAGAACAAATCCTTTTATTAAGGAGATTTGTTCTGTAAAGTTTGGATTCAGTCAAAAGGCCATACTTAAGGACCTAGAGGGCCACACGCAGCCTTAGGACTGTAGGTTCCCCACCCCTGGTTTAGGTGCACAACATAACAGGAGCAAACAAACACAACAGTGTAGTGTACAATAAATTCAAAGACCCCATCCCCTAGGTCATGGACAAAAACTGCTGGCAAAATTGGAAAGCAACCTGACAGAAATTAAGGTTGGGCCAATACCTCACTCTGCATACCAATATCAGCTCCAAGTGGATACATGACATAGATATAAAAGGTCACATTAGAAAAATTAGAAAAGCAAGGAACAACTACCTTTTGGAAAGGAGAGTTCATGATCAAACAAAGGATAGAAAGGATCACAGAAGATAAGACAGATAATTTTGATTATTACAAATTAAAAGGTTTTTTGCATAAACAAAATCAATGCAGCTAAAATTAGAAGAGAAAGTTAAATGGGAAAACATCCCTGCATAGGTTTCTCTGATACATGTCTCATTTCTAAGATATATTAGGAACTGATTCAAATGTATAACATTAAGAGCCATTCTTGATTGATAAATGATCAAAATATATTCATGGCAGTTCTCATAAAAAGAAATCCAAGCTAACAATTAACAGATGAAAAAAATGCTCCACATTACTAATAAAGAAATGCAAATAAAAACAACTGAGATTACACTTCACAACCATCAGATTGACAGTTGACAAAAAAAGAAAATGACTATTGTTGAAGGGTTTGTGGGAGGACAGCACAAAGCCTGGCATATAGTAGGTGTTTAATAAATGTTTATTGATAGATACTGTTAGTAGAGCTGTGAATTGGCACAGCCACTCTGGAAAGTAATTTGGACCTATGCCTCAAGTCACTAAATTGTGCTGGACCTTTGACCTAGCAATAACTCTGCCAGGCCTATATCCCAAAAAGATCTAGAAAGGAGGGAAAATGACCCATATATACAAGAATATTTATGGTAGCTCTTTTTGTAGTGTTAAAGTGCAGGAAAAATAAGGGGGTAACCATCAACTGGGGAATGAAGAAGTTATAGCTTGTGAATGTAATGGAATACTATTGTGCTGTAACAAATTTTAAGAGAGAATTTCAGGGAAACCTGGGAAGACTTATATGAACTGATCCAGAGTGAAATGAGTAAAACCAGAATATTGTACTATAACATCAATAGTGTAAAAACAAGCAATTCTGGAAAAACTTAAGAACTCTGATCAACATGATCAATCATAATATCAGAGGACCAATGATGAAGGATGCTCACCATCTCCTGATTGAGAGGTGATAAACTCAAAACGTAGGATGAAACTTACATTTTTATGATCAGTTTTTTTTGTGTGTGTGAGGCAATTGGGGTTAAGTGACTTGCCCACAGTCACACAGCTAGTAAGTGTTATGTGTCTGAGGCTGGATTTGAATTCAGGTCCTCCTGACTCCAGGGCCAGTCCTCTGTTCACTGCACCACCTAGCTGCCCCTAGACATACATTTTTAGACATGGCTAATGGGGAAATTTGTTTTGCTTGATTATGCATATTTGTTACAAAGTTTTGTCTTTCTTTTGTTCCTGTTGAAAGGTGGGAAAATGCTTCTTAACTGAAAAAAATTTTTTTTAAATATTCCTTTAACTTGGTAAAATATTTCTTTGGAAGTTTTATCGGTATGGCATTAAAATGATAAATTCACTTTGGTCGTATTTTTAGTTTTATTATATTGGCCTAGCCCAGCTATGAGCATTGAATATTCCTCCAGCTAAGTTCTTTATTTCTTTAAAGAGCATTTTGTAATTAAATCTATACAAGGACTGAATCTGCCTTGATAGGCTGACTCAAATGTTTTATGCATTATGTAGTTACCTGGAATGGAATTTCCCCTTCTATTACTGCCTCTTGGATTTTGTTGTTATTATATAGAAATATTGTTGATTTTATGGATATATTTTGTAGCCTGCAGCTTTGACGGATGCTACTGTCTCAAATTAGTTTCTTTGCTGATTCCCTAGAATTTTCTAAGTAAACAATTTAGGGATAGTTTTACCTCTTGGAAAAAAGTATTTTTTTTTTTTATCAAATTTCTCCAATAAGAGTTTAGTATTCAAGATTGTGTGTGTGTGTGTGTGTGTGTGTGTGCACACGCGCATGTGTGTTTGTGTGTGTATACACACATATATGTAACAGAAATACATAAGACCCAAAGCTATTCCCCAATAGATAAATGGTTAAAGGATATAAACAGTTCTCAGAAGAAAAAATGTAAACTATTAACAACCATATGAAAAAATGCTTCAAATCACTAATGAGAGAAATGCGAATCAAAACAACCCTAAGGTTTCACCTCACATCCAGGAAATTGGCAAAGATAACAAAAGATGGGAATAATTCATGTTGGAGGGGTTGTGGGAAGATAGGCACAGTGATACATTTTGGTGGAGCTGAGAATTAGTACATCCATTGTGGAACCCAATTGGGAATTATGCAACTCAAGCGGCTAAAATCTCTATAACCTTTGACTCAGAGATCCCACTGCCAGGCACATAGTCAAAGACTGATAAAAAGGCTCCATAGACACCAGAATATTCATAGCAACATTTTTTGGTGGTAGCAAACAACTAGAAACAAAGGAGATGCCCAACAATTAGGAAATGGATAAACAAATTATGGTAGATAAATGTAATGGAATATGACTGTACTAAGAGAAAGGACAAACATGCTAAATACAGAGAAGTGAGGAAAACAGTATACACAAAGACTATGTCAACACAGATGGAAAGAATCATGATCACAAATCAGTTAAAATGAATATTTCAATATTATAAAGAAATAAGAGAAAAGGCCTCCCTCCAACTCCTCTAAAGGTAGAGAACATGGCTGTGGGACACCGCATATAATGTCGGATTTTTCTGATGCACTGATCAATTTTGATTTTTTCTTTCCTTTCCCTTTTTCTTAAAAAAAAAAAATTCTTTGTTATAAGAGATAGCTCTTTAGCAAAGGGGAAACAGAAAAACGTAGTGGAAAATTTAAGTGACATAAAAACAAGAACTATCAATAATATTTTATTTTAAAAAAGACACTGGGCCTAGGAGGCTACAAGAAAGGGGACTGTCAAGCAGGCCCCGGCCCTCCTCTTTTGCGACTCATGGGACTTTTCATCCCTCACTCCTACAATCAATTTTATGGGAGGATTTGGGAGGCAGAAGGTATGAGGCTAAATGCTGCAGGTTATAATAGAATGGACAGGAAACATCACTTAAAAGCAGAAACCATCCCTCACCTCACAATTTTCCAGACTTGTTCCACCTACTAGTTATGGTCCTGGGAGAGGGGACAGTCTAGGAAAGAGAAATAGGAGGCTGGGAGACAGGTAAGCAGGAGCCCAGGAAGAGACCCACACAGCAGGCCACCCGACTACTTAGGAAATGGGCATCTGCTCCCGCTAGTTTTGGACCTGACCAAGGGGTAGCCTATGAGGAAGAGGAAGAAGAAGTCACAACAGGACAGGGTTGCAAAACAGCCTAGGCCAAGTGTTTGAAATTGGTACTTGCCTCAGCCTGCTTTTCCAGGGCACAAAGATGAGGCTGAGCGGTAGGGGTGGGGGAGGAGACAAGAAGGCTTCTGTGCATGGCCAGTGACAGAGCCAGAGCACACAAAGTACTGTCTTCCACACTGAAATGCAGCAGGGAGCCAGAGGACCTGGGTTCAAATCCTGGCTTTGACATATCCAGCTGAGAGGATCAAAGCCTCAGAGCTTTTTTTCTTAGTAAAATGGGGCTAACACTCCTTTCCACTACCTTTTCATAGGGTTATTTTGAGACAGGTGCTTTGCAGACCTTAAAACATTATAGACATGTGAGCTCCGTCCTTCTAATTTAACAGGTGGCACCCTCAGAGGAGGAGAAGGTGAAACGGTGGAAGACAGCAGTCCTCTGGGGGCAGGGTCGGGCCAGCCCAGGCAGAGAGTCCAGGCGGCCTCTCCTCGAGGGCTGCCGGCCCCTGGTCTCCTGGCTCCAGCCCCGCCGAGGGGCTCAGAAGTCCATGGAGCTATGGGCCAGGTAGTCCTTGCGGCCAATGTTGCTGACCTGTTTGGTCTGCATGGCCTCCAGCTTGGGGCAGTCGGTGATGCGATGGCCCAGACCCCCACAGAAGGTGCAGCCTCTCTCTCCTAGAAAAGGATGATGACATTTAGAGCTGGAAGAGACCTCAGAGGTCACCAAACCCTAAGGCCACTCCTTCCCCCAACAAAGCCCAGGAGTACATCCAAGACCCCCCAGGGGGTCGCACAGCAGCCATGCTGAGAACGGTCATAATGACCATGGGTGCCCTGGACACCACCCCAGCCCCAATCCAGGCATTACCTCCAATGTCCAGCATGGACTCATCCCCACAGTGGAGGACCTGCAGCACAGGCGGCACCTTCTGCTTGGCTTCAAGCAGAAGGGCTTTGAGATCCATGAGTACTGATTCGTCTGAGATGGAAAATGGAGAAAGAAGCATCAGGCTCAGGTCAGCCAGAGATGGGCCGCTGGGACAATGCCCGCCCCAGGATCTGCCTGACACAGGGACCGGTGAAACGGGAATTCTGGGAGCCCGGGGTTCTGGTCCCTGTTCTGCTGCTCACTCACTGGGGGACCCTGGGCCCGTTTTCATCTCTGTGAGCCTTGACTTCCACCTATCTTAAGTGAGTTTTCTGGTTGGACATTAAAAATAGTTTTTTGTATCCCCCGGAGTGTTTCCCACAACACCCCTGATGTAGATAATGATATGGCTCTCATCAAATGTTCTATGAGATGACCTCAGAGATTTGGTTACTTGGCCAGGACATAGCTAATAAAGAACAAGACCGGCAAGTGGCGGGGGGGGGGGTGTCAGGGGGGTCTCCTGAGTCACAGGAGCCTCCGTCATGCTACACAAGAGACTCCAGGGTCCTGCCAGGACTGCCTCCTCAGGCTCCATTGCACCCTGGCCCAAGAGGCCTCCTGGAGTCTCGTCCCTCCCCTCCCAAGCTACACACTCACCACAGGCCTTGTTGATAAAGGTGGTGGCGATGCCTGTATTCCCAGAGCGCCCTGTCCGGCCAATCCGGTGAACTGGGAGAGAAGAAGGTGGAGAGAGGACGAGGTTCAGAGACGGGTGACCACAGGAATCTTCACCAAAGCCCCATCCCCTGAGGGTGGAAGTCAGGAGCCCAGCCCCGAGTCTCCCCACTCCCTGGGGCACCACCGTAATTCTCAATCTCCTCAGGCATATCGTAGTTGATGACATGCTGAATGGCTGGAAAGTCCAGGCCCTTGGAGGCCACATCAGTGGCCACTAAGACATCTTTCTTCCCATCCCGGAATGCCTCGATGGCCTTGGTCCGCTCTTCTTGATCTGGAAGGAACAGGGAAGATGGCAGGGATGTCAAGGCTTGGAGGAAGAAGGGAGGGGACAGCGCTAGGGCTAAGCCAGGAGAACCAAAGGTTAGCTACGGCTAAGCAGGGTCAGGGATGGAGAAAAGGGTGGGACCCAGGAGAAGAGGAGAGGGCGAAGGGAAGAACCATCTGCAGTCCAAAGGATAAAAGGATTAAAGGGGACAAATGAAATTCTGGGTCCCAGCTCTTCTCAGCTGCCAGGAGGCCTCACCTTCCAGCCACACTCATCTTCATTCTCAGCTGCTTTGCTCAGCTTTGATTTCATGACCATGACCCGCACTAGGGGCTCCCATCCCCTTACCTGCTTTCTCTCGTATGTTGTCTTCCCCCATTAGATTGTAAGCTCCTTGAGGACAGGGACGGTCTTTCTTTTCCTTACAAATATCCCCAGCATTTACCAGCATCTGACATAGTAGGTGCTTAATAAATGTTTACTAACCACTGACTAACCCTGTCAGAGGAGCCCCACCCTTGTCAGAAGCAGGCTTTATTGGAGAAGTTTTTTATCCCGGCTCCTCTCCACTCACCTTTGCCTCCATGGATGGCTACAGCCTCCACACCCTTGAGAAGCAAATATTCATGGATGGCATCCACATCTGCCTTCTTCTCTGCAAAGATCAGCACCTGCCCCGATAGGCATCACATATCACACCTAGACCTAACCAGCGCCAGTGTGGGGGCAGAACCTGGAACCATCCTCCTGCTATGCCTGGCTTCTGGGCCCCAAGGAGTCTTCTTACCAACCATGTTCTATCTCCTCCCACAAAGATGAACCCTCTCCCAGGCTGCTAGGGCCCATCCTCCTCATTCCCACCACCCCCCGGTAGGTTATGAAGGGGCAGCAAGCAGACTCACTGGTGGGGGTGTCTTCTGCAAACACTCCAGCAGGTACACCATCTTGGCCTCTTCCTTCACATACTCCACCTCCTGTATATCCCCACCCCAAGAAGAATATCAGAGTCCAGGCTGACCAGGACCCTCATGTCCCCTGACATACGGCCCAGTCCTCTGCCAGTGGGCCATGGGACAGGGAAAGACAATGCCATGTGTATGCAATCTCCCAACTAAACTAAGTCACATGAGGGCAAGGGCCATGTCCTAGCTAAGCTGTATCTCTCCCAGCAGCAGACAATGACTGATCAATCATTTGCTGAACTGAGCTGCCATCACCTTGGTGGCTCTCAGGTTTCCCAAGCCTCAGGTGACAAAAGAGCCTTCCCCACAGAGAGGGGGATCCAGGTCAGACCCCTGTTGGGCCATGGGAAGTCTGTCCTGCCCAGAGCCAAGGCTGGCCGAGCCCAGGGAACCTTCTGGTGGGCAGGAAGTTGGCAAATAAGAAACCCATTGTTTCACTCAATTTCCTGAGCTTGGCAAGAGCAGCTGTGGGTGTGGAGAGATGGGGGCTGGGGATGGGGGGGTGACTACTCAAACCTCAACATTGGGACTGACTCCAGCTGAGGAAGAAGCTGATGTGGAAGTCTGCCCCTTGTACCTGGATGACGTCCAGGCTAGCAGCGCCTGCCCGGCCCACGTTGATGGTAACAGGCTTTACCAGGGCACTCTTAGCAAAGTTCTGGATCTTTTTGGGCATGGTGGCACTGAAAAGCAGTGTCTGTCGCTGGCCCTGAAGGAGTGAAGGAGAGAACTGAGCTGGTCCTGGGGCGTAGAAACACAAAAAAGAGGGGAGGGAGAGATTTCTCCACGAGCCAAGACTCTTGGTGGGGCCAAGGCTGGGAAGGAGGAGGGGATTGTGAGGAGAGGTCTCTGGGTAAGGCACCTTGAAGTAGGAGAAGATGGTTCGGATGTCCCCCTCAAAGCCCATGTCGATCATTCGGTCAGCCTCATCCAGGGCCAGGTAGCGGCAGATGTCGAGACTCACCATCTTCTTCTGCAGCAAGTCCATGAGACGCCCAGGGGTGGCCACCATCATGTGCACCCCACTGGAGAGGGAAGGGACTGTTTTGTCTTTGTATCCCCAGTGCCTAGCACAATGCCCTATATGCAGCAGGAACGTAATAAATGCTTCTTGAAATCAAGAGAAGCTAAAGTCAAGGATCAAAGGCATGAGGCAGGATCAGCCTTTCCTCTGGACCACAGGAATCACAGGACGCTGCCTAGGCAGTCAATGACCACTACTAATTGAGTTAGATTAGGTGCACAAGCCAAAAGGCAAAGGAAGAAATGACTCAGAGCCCAGTCCCAGGCCTGGGGGAGCCCAGTTGGGAGATGAGGAAGGCCAGGCCCAGCTCCGAGGGCTGATCCAGGAACCAGATGTGCAGAGGGGAACAACCTCCCAACTGGTTTCCAGGGACATCACTCACTCCATGACTGTATCCTCTCCCGCAGCTGGAAAAAGTCCAGTCTGAGTTAGCATGTCCAAGGCCTAATATAACTGAGTGCAGATGCTTGTGCAGGAAAGGGGGATCAATAGATTCAAGTTGATGGGGGTGGATGGCTTGTGACTGGCCTGACAGAGAGTGACTGGAAGGTAAAACCAGGGCTGGGCACAGGGCACTGCCAGAGGCTAGGATGGCTGTACTTACTGCCGGATGGTTTCCATCTGCTCCTTGACTGACATGCCCCCAATGCAGAGGGCACAGCGCAAGGGTGGCGAGCTGTCTTCCTGCAGTAGCCGACAGTAATACTCCAAGATCCCGTGGGTCTGACGGGCCAATTCTCGCTATAAGCAACAAGAGACAGGTGAAGCCTGGTACGCCTTGTGCTAGGCTGCCCCATTACACCGTTCAGGAGCGGCCCTGTCAAGGTTCTCACCAGGGCAGCCCACTTAGCAAGGCATTCTCTCAGGAGCACCCCCACCCCCCACCCCTGCCATCCTTTCTACTTACTGAAGGGCAGATAATGAGCCCATAGGGCCCCTCCCTCTTGGAGAATGGCAATCTCTTCTCCTGTTCCAGGCAAAACATGATGACAGGCAGAGTGAACACTAATGTCTTGCCAGAGCCAGTAAAAGCAATGCCGATCATGTCACGGCCAGAAAGGCTACAGAGGAAAAGGGGAGGAGAGAAGGGAGAAAGTAGAGGAAAGCGGCCTTGTGAGTCAAACCCGACAAGGAGGGCCTCTGGGTGCTATTTCCCAAGTCCCACAGGTGATCAAGTCTTCCAAGCTTCAGGTCTGGCCGAGTCTCTTGCCAGGACCCCTTAGAAGAAGGGGCCACACTTACATGGTAGGGATGCCCTGGATCTGAATGGGAGTGGGGTGGTGGATTCCCTTCTTCTTCAGGCCTCTCAGAATGGCTGTGGACAGAACAGCAGAAGTCCAGATCACGCCCCAGTGTGAAGTAGCCCCTGCCCCTGGGTAGGCAGCAAGCCATCCACAGACTACACATATCAAGTCAGTGTGACTGCTGATCGTGGGAAGACCTACCCACCCAGGGATACCACTGCACGTCAGAATATGTGGTAGGGGCCCTATATGCTTATATTATATGTTTCCACACATGGAGAAAGGAAGAAAAAAGAAATCTACCTGCAGGAAACTTCATTTCCTTGAAGCTCTTGAGAGGGGGCGGAATCCCCTCGCCTTCCACCAAGATGTGGTACTTTTTGCGAACACGGTCATGCCGGGCTTCAGACATGCTCAGCACATATCGAGGGGCCTTCCAGCTGTGTAAGAGGGTACCAAGGGAATTGGGTGATGCCTCTGGGAACGAGCTGGGTGTTCTCCTGTCAGCTGACCTGAGCCCCTGACAAAGCCAGACCTTTCTCATCCCACGAGCGAGATCCCAGAGGCCTGGGGCTATGGCTGGCCTTCTCCTTCTCCATTTCCATCAGTGTTCTTTACTGATTAGCACATTGAGCCCTGAGAGGCTGTCCAGACTTGGCACTGATGCTGGCTGCTGGGAGTTGATCTTTTCCTTAAACATCCATCACCCTCCCCCTTAGCCTCTTCACCCCCAGTCCTTCAAGGTGACCCTCAACCATAAAACATAACAATACTCATTTCCAGAGCACTTTCCAATTTACGAAAGTGCTGTGCTCACAACAACATTGCTTGGTGGTACTGTTATCCCCATCTGGATACTGGAGTTCAAGAAAGATGAAATGACTTGCCTAGTATCACCGAGTGAGCGGAATATTGCATCACATACCTCAGAGCTCTGAGGAGTCTCAAGTCATCCAGTCTACCCCAATTACAGCTCAACCCTAGCTCTTGTGACCCCCCCCATTCCAGCCTCTTTTCCCTCTAGTGTGCTGCCATCTCAAGGCACAACTTGCTGGATAAAGGCATAGATGCACACCCAAAATCTGCAGATGACACTGAGCTGGAGAGACAGGAATAACACTAGATAACAGGAGTCAGGACCCAAAAGGACACTGGGCTGAAGCTAATAAAATTCAATCAGGGTAAATGACAAATCTTAGACTTGGGTACAAAAAACTGACTTCACAAATACGAGATGGAGGAGAAACAGATAAAGAGAAGTTTGTCTGAAAAACATCTGGGAGTTTTAGTGGCCTGCACGTTCAATATGTGTCAGCCCCAAAAGCCAACATGGTCTTGGGCTGCACTGAGAGGAAGGAGCACAGCTTCCAAGAATAGGGAGGCGACGGTCCCACTGTGGGAGGCACAGGTTAAGAAGGTGACCCTTTTAAAGTCAGAAAGTGTTCAGAGTAGGAAAACCACAACAGGGAAGGGCCTTGAGGTCAGGTCATATGAAGAAAGAACTGGGAATGCTCAGAGTAGAGAAAACAAGACTTGGAGGAGTCATGATTTCAGCTGCTTGAAGGGCTATCACATGAAAAAGAGATTAGTCATGTTCCTTTTGGCCCCAGAGAGCAGAAGCAGGAGCAGTGATGGCTAGGATAGCAAAGGGTCTGATTTAGATTAGACTTCAGAAAACGCTTCCTAACAATTAGAGGGGTAGAAGGGGCTGCCCTTCAGGGGGCAGATTCCCCTTCCTGGATGCCTTCCAGCAGAGGCTGGATGATTACTTGTTAAGTTGTAGGAGGGATTCCTTCTGGGCTGGCAGGCCATTGAGGTCCCTCCCAACTCTCAGGTCCTATGACTCCGGATTCGAGTACCTGGTTTTGATGGGATCATCATAGGTGATTCCTTTCGCCATCTCTTTCACCGACATGAGAGCTAAGGACAAACGAAGCAATGTTACAAAAGGTTTCCAATTCCCTGTTCCCCCTTTAAGGTCTAGACCTTAAGGGATCGGCCCCTTTGGCCTTGGGCACCTGGGGAACCCAGGGGACCTGGCTGTCCCAACCAGGTCAGTGTCCATCCCTGGAAAATATGGAGGCTGTTAGGTGGTACAGTGGATACAGCTCTGGCTCTGGAGTCAGGAGGATCTGAGTTCAAATCTGGCCTCAGACACTTGACACTTACTAGTTGTGTGACCCTGGGCAAGTCACTTAACCCCATTGCCTAACCCCACCCCCCCAAAAATCAATTACATTGTAAAATCAATATAGTAGAAGTCAGAGGTAATATTAATTTGGGGCAGCTAGGTGTTGCAGTGGATAGAGCACGGGCCCTGGAGTCAGGAGGACCTGAATTTAAATCCAGCCTCAGACACTTGACACTAGCTGTGTGACCCTGGGCAAGTCACTTAACCCCAATTGCCTCACCACAAACAAAAAAAAAAAAATATGCCCTGACCCAGAAAAGTAGCCCTGGTGTCCTGCTGGACTCACCTCGGCCCTCTGCCACACTCTCCAAGATCTTCTCCTCCTCTTTCAGCTGCTTCTCCTTGGCAGACTCTTTCCGGGCTGCGGAATACGTCAGAGGGAACCTGTAAGCAAGGCCCTGAGCCCAAAGTACTCTGGAGTCCCTCATCCAGCAATCTTAAGAGTTCAGAGATTGTCTGATCCAACTACTAGTTGGGCAGGAATCCCCTATCCAACACACAGCCTCTGCTTAAAGACCTAAGGAACTGACCCCTGGAGTAGGAGAATGAAGACCCATCCCAAAGAGGGCTCCTGCTGTCCACCCTTGGTCACGCTCTTGTCCCTCCCTCCTCCCCCCTGTTCCTAGAAGCCTGGGGCAGCTCCCCCAGCAGGCTCACACCCCAACCATGCTACCTTCTGCCTTCTCCTTCAGGTGCTGGTGCTGGTCCAGGAGGCTGACATTGGACTGGGGGCCCAGTGGAATGTCATCTTCATCTCCTCGGGGCTCACTGCCACTGTCTTTCTGCTCCTCCTCCGCCGCTCCCTTCCGTCGCAGCTGTAGCAACTTCTGTAGCTGCAGAAGGGACCCAGGAGTGAGACCAGGGGCCAGTAGCCTCACCAAGTTGGGAAGGCTGAGATTTCTTGCCCCCTCCTCCTTCCATAGGCCTTGGGAACATCCCTTCCCACCACCACCCCTAAACCATCCCAGCAAGCACCCCCCACCCCCTACCATTTGCTGCTTTCTCTGCTTGACAGGCACATAAGGCACATAGTCCTCATCCTCTGACAGGCCTCCCGCTGTGTCATCTTCCTCCTCTCGAGGTCTCTGAAGAAAGTGACAGGTCACATAGGTAAAGGGCAGGAGGAGTGTGGGGTAGCTAAAAGAACACTGGGCTTGGAATCGGTACAATTCAATTCAGTTCAACAAGCATTTATTAAATGCAGGCCTCCTGTGCCATGTACTATGCTTGGCTCTGAGGATCCAAAGACAAAGAAATGAAGACAGTCCCTCTTCGAAAGGAGTTTCCATTTTGACGTGGGGACAACACGATGTGCAAATGAGTAAATATGAAAAATATTTAAAGTCATGTGGGCGATGGTGGGAAATGTTAACAATAGATGGGATCTGCAAAGGCCCCATGCAGGAGGTGTCGCTTGACTGAGCTGGAGGTGAGGCAGGAGAACATTTCAGACACTTCAGACAGAACAAAGGCAGAGAGCCAGATGAGAGCCAGATCTCCTCAGGGAAAAAGCCAATAGGCCAACTGGGCTGGAACCTAAGAGCTGGGGAGGGGGTGGTGGTGTGGGTTGAGGGGAGTGATGAGGGAGGATGTGGAATATGCCTGGAAAGGGATGTTGGATACAAACTGTGAAGGCCTTTAAATGCCAAACAGAGTAATTTATATTTTGTCTTGGAGAAAATGGGGAACCACTGAAGCTTTTTGAATAAGGGAGTGACATGGTCAGGCCTGTGCTATGCTTTTCAGAAAACTGGTATTATATCACAAAGCTGTTCACGAAGAAAGTGCTTTTTAACAATAAAGTACTAAAGAAATGTGAATCATTATTGGCAAGGGAGGATGCACACTTCATAGGCAGAGAAAGATCACTGGATCAGAAATTAGGGCCTATAAAGGTCCTAATAGATCCTCTTGTTCAATTTTACAGATAAGGAAACAGGCCAAGAGAGAGGAAATAAGTGCCCCAAAGTCAAAGAGTTGAAAAGTTGAGGCTACAATCTAAGGCTTGTTCATCCCAATCCAGTAGCACAGAATTTTTTCACCTTTTCTGTGTCTTGGACCCCTTGGGCAGCTTTTCTAAGTCTGATGAAACTAAGAATAATGTTTTTAAATGCACAAAATAAAATATATAGGAACCTAATTATCTTGAAAATGAAATTTTATTTTTATTTATGTATATTTTTAAACAAGTAAAAAACCGCAGGTAAAGAATCTTTTCATTAGATGTTGTCTCGCCTCTTCTAATTTTTTTTAATTTTTAAATTTTATTTTCAGTTCCAAATTTTCTCCCTCTCCAACCCATTGAGAAGGTAAGAAATACATATGCTGTCGAACTTCTTCAAAGGTGTGTATGTGTATGTGGGTGTATAAATACCTGTTGCATTTTTTCCTGTTTTAATTCCTGGGAACCTGGCTTCCAACTGCACTATCCTCCTGAAACAACTCTCTTCCAGTTTAATACTGACCTTTTCACCAAATACGACGGTGGACTCTCCTCCCCAAGTTTTTCAACTCCTTGACTTCTCTTCCATATTTTATACAGTTGGACCCCTCCCCCAAACCTCTTCCTTGGTACCCTCTACTCCCCTTGGCTTCCAGGTCACTGTTCTCTCCTGATTTTCCTCCCACCTTTCTGACCACTCCTTCAATGATCTTCCTCCCTAAATCTGCCCCTTATGATAACTTTTCTCTTTCTGTTGGGGGCACCACTGTCCTTTCAGTCACTCAAGTTCACAACCTTAGTATCATCCTTGATTCTTCTCTCTCCTTCACACAGAAAAAAAGGTCAAGGTCTCCCACTGCATCTGGGCACATCTCCAGTCATCCTGATCTATGTCTAGCCACTGGACCCAGATGGCTCTGGAGGAGAAAGTGAGGCTCGTGACCTTGCACAGCCCTCCCTCACTTAAAGCCAATTCACTTGCAAGTCATGACTTCACCTTCCTGATGTCATGGTTCTCTAAAGACAAACAATGATCAGTGAGCAGTAGCAGTTGCCCCACTGGGACCCAACTGGCCAGTTCCAGTTGGGCTACACAATTCCTTCCCTCCCTCCTCTCCCTCTGTCCATATGGGGAATCATACCCTTACCTGAGGGTGCTCGGCCCAAAGGAATATCAATTTTAATCTTTGAAACCTTATAAGATGCCATGGGATTTATGGGCTAGATTTCTTTTTTAAGGACCATGTCTTAAACCCAATAGCAATTGTCTCTGTTTTAGCCAGAAACCCTGAGGGTCTTCTTCTCCCAGACTGATTTTGGTTTTTTGTTTTTTTGACTAGGAAAAGAGGACATTCTTTGAAAAGTTTCTTACCTAGCCTCAATCACTGAATGGGTGTTGCCTCAGTCAAACTAGACCTGGGAAAGACTTTAGCTTAAAAAGGCCAAGGTCTCTCACTACTTCCGGGGCCCACTTCCAGTTGTCCTGATTTATATCTTGCCTCTGGACCCAGATGGCTCTGGAAGAGAGAGTGAGGCTGGTGACTTTGCACAGCCCTCTTTCACTTAAATCCAATTTACTTGCAAATCATGACATCACCTTCCTGAGGAAGGACAAAGAACACATGCCCCTCCACTCAATTAAGTATCCATCCCACCTCCATACTTCTCATAGCTACTCTCTCCCCTCTAATCATAGTTACCTCATTGCCTGGACTGTTACAGAGCCTTCTCTGATCTGGCTTCCACGCCTGCAGTCTTTCCCTTCAACAATCTACCTTTCACACAAATGCTAAAATAATTGTCCTAAGACTCAAGTGTAACAATGTTACTCCTCTGCTCAAAAGACTTCAGTCCTCTCTATAACGCTAGAAGAGCTTTTTAAAAAATAATAATTTTTAACATTCATTTAAAAAACTATTTGAAAAAAATTTTTTTGGAATTCTAAATTCTCTCTCCCTCCTGCCCCTACCCCTACCTACTGAGCGGGCAAGCAATATATCAATTATATCTTGAAAACACAATTAGCAACAGTATCAATATATCACATCATCAATTATAACAATTGTATCATTGCTTGCTCTCTCAAGCGTTGGAGGAGGGAAATTTTGAAATTCAATTAAAAAAATGATATTAAAAATTTTTACATGTGATTGTTAAATACTTAACGAAATAAAACTATATTGAAAAAATTATACATGTGAAATCATGAATGAACAAGAGCTCTTAACCTTTTTTATGCCATGGACCCCTTTGGCAATCTGGTGAAACCCTTCTCAGAATATTTGCAGTTTACACTCTTAATTGAATAAAATGCTAAATCTCAATTAGAGGTCGGTGGAAACAGTTAGAATTTCCCCCCCATCCAAGTTCAAGGACCCCCCTGAAATCTAACCACAACCCCCTTGGGCTGAGAACTTCCTCTCTACAATAAACACTTCTCGCTCCCCCTCTCAGAACCCCAACACGTCCCCGCTCTGCTCCCACTCCCCACCCGGGGTCCCATCTATACACATTTGCTCAAACTCTTCCCTCTTCCACCCTCCCAGTACCGTGCCCAGTACACAGTGGGCGCTCCATAAGTGTTTCCTGATGGATTGTAGAGGAGGAAACTCAGCAACAAACCCGAGTGTTTGGGAAATGGGGGCTGTGGTCGCCTCGCAGGTCCCAGGCCCCCCCGCTTCTTCCCTTCAGGCAGGAGCTCTTAGCCCGCGGCCCCTTTGGGGGTCCGTGGGTAGATCTCCTGGGACCCCTGAACGCGAATGGGGAGAACGTGGCTATAACTGCTTTTCGGTATAACCGGGTTCTTCGTAATCCTGAGCATTTCGTTTTATGTATTTAAAAACGTCCGGAGGAGAAGCCTGGGGGGGCTGCGAAGCAAAAGCAAAGGTAAGAAGCTCAGGCTCAAAGGCTCCCGTCCTGGGAGGCCGAGAGGAGAGGCAGGGGAAGGGAGCGCCCCGGATTCAGCCCCACTAGGGGGTCTAACCCCAGCTCTGCCCCGGCCGCGCTGTGTGATGCTGGTAAAGTCGCTTCCCCTCTCAGGGCCTCGGTTTGCCCATCGGTAAAATGGAGGAGAGGAGAAGAGTGAGTGTTTGCGGACCGACAGGTTCCTACGGGGGCCCTGGGGCTTTTTCTGGCTGACTGCACTGCTGAAAAACACCGGGAGGGGAAGAGAAGTCGCGGAAAAGCCAAAGACCGACACCCTGCTCCGACTCCTACCTTCCTATCCGCTTCCGGGTCCTCCATGTCGCGAAGACCAGTCACGTGGCACACGAACTCCACCCCCATATGAATTTACCCAATCACCTCGAGGAGGAGGTTCCTGTCTTCCAGCAACCCCCCTGACTGGTCCTGGACTCTTTTATGGGCTGCGTCGAGGGACAAGCTTCCTTCCAACAGCAATGAAGCATGCGCACACGATAGGTTTGGTGATTCTGCGGTGGGGTAGCGGAAGTCCAAACGCCTAAGGGAGGGCTTAGCGCCTGGGTTATTGCGGGATACTGGAAGAACCGAGAAGCGCGCCCCCTGGGGAGTCTTCTCAGAACTGAACATCCCTATCTGCCCCTTCACCTGAAGGCAATTCATTCATTCAGACAGGGGTAGACCGGTTAGGAGTGGGGCAGTCTTAGCACGGCTCTTAAAGAAAATAATCAATACTCTAACCCCTTTATTGTACCATTTAGGGAAACTGAGGCCTAGAGAAAAGAAACTGGTCCAAGGCACACAGTCACTAGGTAGCAAAGCCAGGATTTTTCATCATCATCATTGAACTAGTATAACATCATTATTGTTAGTCATCTTATTCTCATCTTTTTCGATGAAATTCAAAGAGAAACTGCCACTATCTTACTATTATTCTTTTATATGTAATGTTCTGCTACTGCCCGGGTGCCTAACTTTTCTGTAGTTGGATAAAAATATTGGGACCTCAATAAGACCACCAAGTTGAAGGGAAAGTCCTCTGTGAAAGCTCTATGGATTCCAAATCACTAATAAGGAAAAATGCAGATTAAAACAACGTTGAGGTTTCACACTTTGACCATCCTATTGCCAAAAGATGAATATGGCAAAGGTTAGGGGGAATGTGGAAGGACAGGCATGCTAAGGCACCATTGGTGAAGCTACAAACAGTTCTGGAAAGCCATTTGGAATTATACATTACATCCCAAAAGTAACCAAACTGTACAAACCTTTTACCTAGCAATACCACTATTAAGCATATACCCCAAAGAAATAAATAGAAGAAAGGACCCATGTGGAATTAATATGAACGTATATCATGTGTATACATGTATGTATATGTGTGTGTTGTGAGTGCATACATATACATGGATATGTCTATAGATATACATATTGTATGTCTGTGTATATATGTATATGTGTGTGTATTTTTTGTGGTAGTAAATAGCTGTAAATAAACAAAGAGGGTGCCCATCAATTGGGGAATGGCTAAACAAATGATGGTATGTGAACATAATATTACCACACTACAAGAAATGATGAATATGAAGAATTCAAAGAAAATTGGTAAGATTTTATGAATCGATAGAGTGATATAGGCAGAAATATGAAAACCATTTGCCTGACGAGTGAAATAATGTAAAAGAAAATAACCCTGAAAGACTCCAGAACCCAGATCAATGAAATGATCAATCATGACTTCAAGAAACTGATGATGAAGCATGCCTTCTTGGCAGAGCGATGATGAACTAAAGGTGCAGAATGAGACATGCATTTTTATATATGGCCAATGTGTTGATTTGTTTGAGTGACTGTAATTATTTTTCACTGGGGAGATCTTTGATATATTTGCGTGGGGTGTGAGTTAGTGAGAAGTGGCAGACACCAAAAGAAAACATCAATAAAACAAAAAACACAGAAGAAAACAAAGTTCAGAAGGGGACACAATAATATAGTTACTACCATTTAAAATTTAATATATACTTTTAAAATGTACATAACAGAAATTCATAGTTTAATATACAATCTTTTTTGTTCTTTGCATACTGGAATGTTTTTTTGTTGGTGATTGTTAAGTTCACAATAAAAAAAGGAAAAAAATTTAAAGGATTTATGAAAGAACATGGACAAGAACTGGACAAGAAGGCATGGATCAATGATCTACACTGATGGGAGATCACAGATCCATGGAAAATATTGAAATATGAATACTAATAGTAAACAAGCAAAAAGTGGCTCACATTCGTAGAGTGTTCTACAATTACATTTTCTCATTCTATCACAAAAACCTTGTTAGGGAGTTGAGACAAGGATTATCATCTCCAATGGGATACTTCCCATTTCTATAATGCTTTAAGGTTTATAAATAATTTCTCTACAACAACCCCATGTGGTAGGCTGTGCAAGTATGATTATTCACTTGCCCAAAGTCACAGAAATGGTAAGGGACAGAGCTGGGACACAAAGTTAGGTCTCTAACTCCAGATCTAGGACTATTTCCACTACATCAGTCTATAAGAAAGAGGGTGTGAGAACGGGGGAAAGAAAGAAAAGCATTTATAAAGCACCTACTATGTACTAGGCACTGTGCTAAGTATTTTTTTTTAAAATGATAGTCCCTACCCTCAAGCAGCTTACATTCAAATAGGGGGAAATAACACATATATGAGAGCAATGACAAGGGTAAGGAGTGAGGTGGGAAGGGGATGGGGGTATAAACAGGTCAGCAGCCACAGGCAGATGGTAAAATGGCCTGGATGGATGGCTATATGCTACCTGAGGCTAAAGCCTAGTCTGATGTCCAAGGACAGTCTGTGAATTTGTAGTAGACTTAAGTGGGCAAATTTGCACAAACCTAGATACCAATCATTTGGGTTGGGTCTGAGGTCTAGAGCTCCAAAAATTAGTAAATTAACTTCTTCAGGGACAGGAGGTATGGGATTCTGGAAGAACTGGGTGTGTGAAGGTTTAGGTCTCAAGTCCAGTGTGGAGAATGCTGGTTTCAGTGGAGAAGTGCAGGTCAACAATGAAAGGCAGAATAAGATGTCTTGGGTGGATAACTGGATGAAATGTAAAGCTAACACATGGCCTGCTGCCTAGGGAAAGAGCTCCAAAAATGAGCCGATTAATTTCCCCTGGGCCTGAAGAAGGAAGAATGAATTCTAGAAGACTTAGATGAGAAAAGATTAAGATCAGAATTGCCTGATAAAACAGCAAGAGTAGCAGAGGGAAAAACAGGTTTACAGAGAGCTTGATGAGAGGACCAACTAAGCAAAGGCATCCCAAGGGCACTTAAGGATGAAGCTGGAAGGAAGACAGACAAAAAATGGGAAAGATCTGCAAAAATGAACAAACTTTTTGCCATGAAAGACAGTGCAGTCACCACATTTGGAATGTATCTTCATGATCCCAGATACGCTGCATAAAGAAGTAGGAAAGACATTAAAGAAAACAAAGATGGGAAGAGAAGCTGGACTAGACCAATACATACCTCCTTGATGGAGGTGACAAAATTTGTTGAGGGATTGATTTTCAGTGGAGGAAGGATCTCAAAGTCTTGGGAAAAGATCTCAGACCTTATTATTACCAAGAAAGTTCATAACCACCAACCCAAATGGCTACTTTCCCATCTGCACAAAATGTTCATGTGAATATTCTACACATGCATTGATGGCATCCTTGTTGAAGGTTTGAGAAGAGAATAGGAAGGCTTTTAAAAATCGCATTCTAGCTGAAATACCATTGTTTGTACAAAATGATGAAGAGCATGGTTTTAGAAAAACCTGGGAAGACTTATATGAACCAATGTGACAACAATGTACACAGTAACAATATTGTAAGAATAATCAACTGCGAAAGACTTAGCAACTCTTATCAATACAATGATCCACAGTCAAATGGTCCCAAGCACAAAAAGAGTTCTTGGAAGAACTTAAAAAGGACTTTAAAAATCAAATAAGAGAGATTGAGGAAAAATTTCAAAAAAAGATAAGAGCAACCCAAGAAAATTATGAAAAGAAAGTCAACCAACTTGAAATAGAGAATCAAAAACTTAAGGAAAAAAATAATTCCTTGAAAACTAGAATTGGGCAAAGGGTAACTAATGATGTTCTAAAACACCAAGAAGTAATAAAACAAAATTAAAAGAACAAAAAAAAAAGAAGAGAATGTGAAACATCTCATCAGAAAAACAACTGATCTGGAGAACAGATCAAGGAGAAATAATATAAGAATAGTCAGACTACCTGAAAATTACGATAAAAAAGAGAATCTTGATATATTACAAGAAATTATCAAGGAAAATTGCCCTGAAGTTCTAGAATAAAAAGGCAAAACAGAAATAGAAAAAAATCCACCGATCACCACCTGAAAAAGATCCCGGGCGAAAACTAACAGGATTTTATAAAAACTTACAGGATATTATAGCCAAGTTTCAGAGTTCCCAAGTTAAGGAGAAAATATCGAAAGCAATAAGAAAAAAAAATTTAAATATCATGGAGCTGCAATAAGGATTACACAAGACCTAGCAGCTACTATATTGAAGGACCATAGGTCTTGGAATACTATATTGCAGAGAGCAAAAGAACTGGGGTTATGACCCAGGATAACTTACCCAGCAAATTTAAGTATAATCCTGAATGAAAATAAAATGGACATCTTTTTGTTTTGTTTTTTTGGTGAGGCAACTGGGGTTAAGTGACCTGCCCAGAGTAACACAGCTAGTGAATGCTATGTGTCTAATGCCAGATTTGAACTCGGGTCCTCCTGACTCCAAGGCTGGTGCTTTATCCACTGTGCCATCTAGCTGCCCCATAAAATGGACATGTAACAAACTAAAAGACTTTCAGGTGTTTGTGACAAAAACAGCAGAGCTCAAGGGATAATTCGACGTATAACATCCAGGAGAAATATAAGGTAAACATTAAAGACCAATTATAAGGGGCTCAATAAGGTCAAATTGTTGACTTCTTATATATGAAAATATTATCAGTACTCTTATGACTGTCATCATTATTTGGGTAGTTTGAAAGAAAGGCTTGGGCTGAGCCGAGCATGATGGGGTGATTCTAATGAAATAAAACCATGTAAGGAGAGACTATCTCTTACAAATGAGGCATAAAAGGAAAAGCTAATACAAAGAAGCTAGGAGGAGAAGGGTAGGTAGTCCTGGAACCTTACTCTCATTGGGAATGGGTTAAAGAGGGAACAACATATGTGTGTGTGTGTGTGTGTGTGTGTGTGTGTGTGTGTGTGTGTGTGTGTGTGTGTGTGT